GYTTAAAACGTTTTCCTCGACTCTGCTGCTTTCACCACAAACAAACAGTATTTTCAATCTTCTGAAGGGTAATAACAATCTGGCAGCCTCACTAAAAACACAGTGTCCATGTAGTGGCAAACCGAATGTTTAGGCGCTCAAAAAGGAGATTAAATGTCCACATAGCTGCTGAAAATTAATGGGATGGAAATGTCGCCACAATATTTCCTAATTCCACGCAAAAAAATAAATAAATCTTGGAGTTTTAACGTGCCGCGCAAACGTTTGGCCACAAATCATCAGTTCCGCTGCCCAGGCCGAGTGGAAAATGTGTCCCAGTATTTACATGTTTCTGCACAGAGGCAGCTCTGGAACACAGAGGAACCCCTGGGATGGAAATACTGAGGTTTTCAGCTTTTATTTAAGCACTGTTTTTAAAAGTCTTTTCTGCGATTCAATAAAAGCTGTCTTTCACATGCAGGCAGCACGCCTCCATGATGTAAACACAGGGATTTCTTTCAGAGGAAAAGGAAATCATTTGAGAGCTCCATCCTTTCCTGTTTATCCATCAGCACCAGATAAAAACACTTAAATGTCCACTTCCACACAGTTTCTATCTCCGTCTCTTTCATGTCTACAAACAGACACACGCCCTGCTTCTTTATTGTGTCCATTTCAGTCTTTAGTACAGAAAACTGCAACAATATTCAGTGAAACTTTGACTCTTTCACCTGCCAGAAGTCCTTTCAGCTGCTTACGTAATTAATCAACAAAGACAAAAGATTAAATTGCACTTTCTCTTTGTTGTTTGTCCTTGTGTGTCATCTAAAAAMAAATTCAAAAACAGCTGAGTGAAATTAGTTTCCTTGTTCAGAAAAACAAGCTGCCCTGATTGCTCAGTGACTGTGGAATCAGGAACATTGGTTCAAATGAAATTTTGAGAAAATTTACGCTCTGTGAAGAAAAAATAAACATAATTTTGCTAAACAAGCAACAGCTCATTTACCCGGTTTTTGTTTAGTTTAATAGTTTATTC